TTTTTTTCCTTACTGAAACTGCACGGATAAATGGATATGAGGATATGCCCACCCGAAAAGTTAATGACCATAGATGATATGATTTAAGGTTGTCTATTAGTTATTACTTATTTATACCGGTTGCTTTTCAATATTTTGTAACGAAGAGTCAATATCAATTAACTAATTAATTTTTACATATCGTAGCTGGCTGAAAGAGTGTCACAATAAAAAATATATATATCTTTTGAGTTATTTATGTATGCAGAAATGAACGCAACCTCTTCTTCTATGTTGCGTAAAAAATCATAACTGTATCAAAGGGGGAAATATAGCCAAGTTAGAAAAGGTATTAAACTAATAAAAAAAAAGTACTAAATTATTTCAGCTAAGCCGAGTTGGTTTGTGTCTTCTTATGGGTTAATTAATAACATGCACTTCCGCCAAGAAAATTCCAGAGAAAAAGATGCCGCCTACAGGGCCACGCTGCGATTGGGCGCAACGCGAACCATACAGGTAACTAAAGAGGGAAGCGAGACGTATTTGCCGCATTAAGAAGAGAGAGGCCGTTCGACTTTAAAATATTAGGTACCAAATTAAGGACCTTGGGCCTGTAGCTGTGCAGTCAGGTTTTATTTATTTGAAAAGGAATGCCAGTTGCCAAAAAATTAAATAAACTTCAAATTATTTAATAAGTTAAATGAATTATTGAAAGATGGGTTTCAATTGAAATGGGTTTGAAAAGTTTATATGAAGAGGGTTGCCACCTCTTTGGAAAGTCGAATTCAACTTCGTTCATTAGCTAATTGAAATGTGTATCACAATACCAGACGAAAGAGATTTAAGAAGGTTTAAGTTAAAAAATCTAAAGTTAGAAAATTTAGAATTTCTTTGAGTTATCTGAAGAGAGTTTTCACCTATTTGGAAAGTCACATTCAAATTATTTAATAAACTAAATGAATCACTAAAAGATGGGCTCAATGGAAATGGGTTTGAAAAGGCTTCATTTCTTAACTACATGTATGTAGGTAGGGATGAAACGATGCGAAGAATACAAGTACATACTCGATACTTTTCGTCCGATACCAAGTAATTTTGGCATCGATACCTTTGGACCAGGTACTGAATAGGTATCGAGAAAAAAATGCTCGTATCGAAACCCGATACTAAGGCAAATTTTTCTTCGGAAATTTTTCTCCTTTGTTATTCCTAATATGAATCACCGTGGGCTTTATGGCTGCTTAAGGGCCAATTTCATAATGAAACACTTAAAGTTCCTTTTTACAAAAGTTTCCTTTTAGTTTAGTTTAGTGTAATTTAAATATACTTTAAACAAGAATTGTTTTCATAATACAATGGCAATTGAATACTAACAAAAGGTTCATTTAAATGAAAATAACAAAGTTGGCATTGCTGATCTCGGCAAAATTGCATCAGCTGATTGTCATAAATATGCAATTATGCTACGAAAATGACATACTATTATTCTTATGTCATTTAAATTTCCATTTTGGGTATTTAACTATGGGCACCTTTAACTTTAAAGTTTCTTTATGATATCGATCAGCCAAATAAAGCATCCTTTAAATTTTTAAGTATTCTTTAATCTTATTATGAAATCGGCCCTAAGTCAAAGAACATAAGGGCAGTTCACTCTTTGAGGCGAAAAAGCGAAAGTCAAATAAAACCGGGCATGAATAGATCGTTTTGTACTTGGTCATTTTCGAACTAGTTCGGTTTGAGTCACTGCAGGGTATAGCTAGTATTACTATTACTAATAATAGAGGAATACTGACTGTGTAATAAAGTAAAATTTTGGTGCCGCCAATTAAATGTTTTATTTAACAATCCAGTGATCAAGGCAGCGTTTGAAAGTAATTGGTATATCAATAAACTGACAAATCGCCCTCCTTTGAGTAGGATTGTCCTTATCAAAACGTGATTTGTCCTCCTCAAAAATATTGTCCTTCTCTGTCCTTCTTTTGAGCAAAAATATCCTCCTTCTCC